ATAGCATTGAACCTTAGATATGTCAACTTAAATATTATATATGTGGGAATGTGTAATATTGACACTTCTATTGACCTTAATAAGAATTTGTGTATTGAGGGCTGGGGATGTAGCTCAGTGGTTCTGGCACCTGAGAGTATCTAATGGCACTATACTCCAAATTCTTTAGTGAAATTGAAAGGGAACCAATACTGTCAAACTCATTCCTGGAATCAAGCATGACCATAATAAAAAAAATCAGTGAAAGACCAAGCAAAAAAAGAAAACTAGTGGTAATATAGTTAAACACATGCAAATCAATAAATGGACAAAGGACAAAAATCATATGATCATCTCAATAGACGCAGAAACAGTATTTGACAAAGTTCAACACATATTCATGATTTTAAAAAATCTATAGAAAATTGTAGGAGTTGGTCTTATCTCAATCTGACAAAACCATCTATGACAAGACAACAGTCAACATCATACTCAATGGTCAACAACTGAAAGCTCTCACTCTAAAATCAGGAACAAATTAATATGGGCATAACTCAAACAACTAAGATTAAAAGTTCCATTTGACCCAGCTATTCCTCTGTTGGGTATCTTCCCCAAAGAATTAAAAGAATCATACCACAGGGATATATGTTCACCCATGTTTTTAGTGGCACAGTTTGTAATAGCTAAAACCTGGAAACAGCCCAGTTGCCCATCAACTGTAGACTGGATAAAGAAGATGTGGATTTTTATAAAATAGAGTACTACTCAGCCATTCAGAATGAGAAACTAGAGACATTTATAGCTAAGTGGATGCACATTGAGGCCAAAATCTTAAGTGAAATAAATAGGACACACATTTGTAAATACCAAATAGTTTCTCTGGTGTAAAAAACTAAAAGTGTAAATAAGGAACAAAATGTATAATTAATACTGTGAAATGGGCCAAGGATTTAGCTCAGTGGTTTTGCCACCTGCCTTGCAAGCTCAAGGACCTGAGTTCAATCCCAAGTATCAAAAAAAAAAAAATTGTGAAATAGGAAGAAAAGGTCTAAAGGAGTAGGGGAAGTGGGAGAGGCAGGGGAAAGGAAAGAAAGGAAAAGAAAAAATATGAGAAAAGGAAAAAATGGAAACAAAGTTTTTGTAAATAGGGAAGGGTGGAGGGGGTGAAGGGAGTGCAGGGGAATGGGAAAAAAATAAGAACCAAGATACATCATGTAAAGATACAAAATCACAATGATGAGTGTAATTGTATTGTATATGTCAAATGTACCAATAAATTTAATGGAAAATTTTTTCAAAAAATGATGTGTTTCCATAGCTACTCCTTAGATGAAGATAGGGACCATTCTCCCAGACTTTATGCTTAGTAACATTTGTTAAGTTTTATGACTAAATGTTATATATATGATGAAATAATAATGTTTTCTTTAGCATTTTCTATTTTCATTAAACAACATTGTGTAATTTTTATCTGTGTTATTGGATAGTCATTTTCATTACAAAATTGTATTTCATTTATAAATTTATCACAATTTATTCATTTATTCTTTAATTGTTTGTCATTTAGGCCGTTTCTCTTTTTGATTGTTTTAAATGGTATTGTCATTAGTATTACACATGAATATCTTTTTGTGCACAATATAACCGTTTATGTATTTCCCATAATATAATCATTTAGTCATAAGTTGTACTTGGTTTTAATAAAATGTGCTAAAATCATAAAAAAGAAACACTGATAAGAAAGGAAGAAGTCAAATTATCATTATTTCTGATGACATGATACTCTACATGGAAGACCCCAAAACCTTCATCAAAACACACCTAGAATTAATAATCAAATTTGTCAACGTAGCAGGATACAAAGTGGATATTCAAAAATCAATAGAATTCCTGTACCCAAAACTAACTGAAAGAGAAATTAGGGGAACGATACTTTTCATAATAGCATCAAGTAAAATGAAATACTTAGGAATCAATCTAACAAGAAAATGAAAGACCTAAACATTGTAAACTACAATATTCTCAAAAAGAAGATCAGAGTAGATATCAGAAAATGGAAAGATACCTCCTGTTCTTGGACAGGCTGAACCAATACAGTGAAAACGGCCATAGTTTCAAAACTGGAATACAGGTTTAATACAATCTCAATCAAAGTGCCATTAGCATACCTCACAGAACTAGTGAAATCTATCCTAAAATTTGTGTGGAAGCAGAAGAGATCTAGAATAGCAAAAGCAATTCTGGCCAAAAAAGGCAAGGCAAGGGGCATTACAATCCGCAGGTTGAAGTCATATCACAAACCTACTGTGGTGGAAACAGCATAGTAATGGCAAAAATCAAAACACCTCGGATCTGAGGATCAATGGCAGACAGTAGAAGAGGTGGGAACAACTCCAAGCACACTCATCTACCTCATCTTTGTCAAAGGTTCCAGGCACCTTCACTGGAAGAAAGACAGCTTCTTGAATAAATGGTACTATGAAAACTGGCTTTCCAAATTGCAAAGACTAAAACAAGCCTCATAACCCCCATCATGCACTAAACTAAAATGATGTAAATATTAAAGCAGAACCAGTTAATCTGCTGGAAGATGAAATAGATAAAAGTCTTGTAGACACAGGTATAGGCAAAGACTATCTGAATAAACCCCAGTGGCACAGGAAATATTACAAAGCATCAACAACTGCCATCTCATATTAAAACCTTTTCCACAGCAAAAGAAACCACCAACAGAGTAAAGAGACAACCCAAAGCAATGAAATAAAATTTTACAAGCTATCCCTCAAGAAAGGACTATTATCCAAAATATAAAGAAAATGAAAAAAACCCAGACCCCATGAATTTAAAGACCCACTCTAAAAATGGACAGGTTCAATGAACAGATACATTTCAGGTGAAGAAGTTCAAACAGTACATTAAAGAGATAGAAATTAAAATAGCACTGATATCTACTATCATCAAGAAATGCTGGTGAGACTATGGGGAAAAAGAAACCCTTCTACACTGTTGGTAGATTATACATTTTGAGAGATGTAAAGATCAAAGCTTCTTCTTCTATCCTCTTTGATTAATGGAGAATATCACCAAAGGTGGCAAGGTTTTATCTCTTCCCATGTACCCATCCTTACCTGTGGAAATTTGTAGAGTTCCAGTAGTGTTCCAGTCTGGATAGATGTTTCCCATGTTGTTCCTGTAAGAACAGCTACAGACTTGCTCTCCCTCCTGCAGGTGTAATTGGGGACCTCGTCCTGCCCTGTGAGCAAAGTGAGGGAGCTCTCCAATGTTCTCCATTCACTGTGCTGGACATTGTGGAACTCATATCCCAGAGATATGTTGGGGAGAAAATGGGGGTTATTGTTGATCTCTTCTATGGCAAAAACCAAGGCCAGGACATATTGGTAATTTTTTAGCTTAAACCTACAGAGAAAGCAGAAACTTTCTTAAATAAAAAGCATAATGAATTATTACCTTTAAATCCAGTACAGCAACTTTTAGGCATGTCTGTTTCCCTTTAAATTTCATATGTTAAGGTTTCCTTAACTTTTAATGTGATACCACTACAAGGTTGATTTTTCAGATGTAATTAGATCTAGATGACCTTATGAAGACGAATTTCTTCTGAATGTGGTTGGCATTTTTCCAAGTGATGAGAGATCTTCCAGTATGGCCAGATGAGAACACACAAAACCAAAAGCAGTTCTCTCTTAAATTCTTAGCTGCTACCACTATGGAAAGTAAATAAGTGTAAAAAATACTTTGTTTATGATATATTTTTATACAGAAGCTTAGGGAATATTCCGGTGAAAGATGAAGATCTAGTCAGTAAATTCGCTCTTTGGAAGTGAAGGCTTAGGTAAGGTCTGAGAACTTACAGCTGCAGCAAATAATACAACCATGGCTCAGAAAATTACTTGCTCTACATACATGAAAGAAAAATTTTCCATTTATGCAGAAAACTATAAATTAAAAAGCTTATTATATTTAGGGTGGGTATCTATATCAATAATTAAATTAATTGCACAATTAACATATGATTCCATGCTTCATATTTCAGAAATACTATTCAATAAAATTGGACATAGGTAGAGAAAAAATAATTCTACATTGAGATATTTTGGGTAAACAGAAGGACCTGACAGCTGTAGGAAAAATAGTGTGATGAAGAAGCTTCTCAATTAGGTCACCTCATTCTTTGACCCCTCCTGGTATCCATTAGTAATCATCAAAAACTAGGAATTATACAGGAACTTCACAGCTCCAGAGGAGAAGGAATTTTAAAAAGTTAGACATTTTCTTAAATTAGAAGGATTGGCAAGACTGTAAATTTATGAATGTAAGATGTATAGAAAGGAAAGTTGAAAATGTATTATGGGTTTTCAGAGAAGTAAGGATAAAAATCATAGGATTATCTCAGTAGATGTAAAAAATTGTTGTACTTGATAAAATACAATATCTATTTGTGATCACAAACACTGATGAATATAAGCGTATAAAAATCTTACCTCAAATTAGTAAAATGTATTTATGACAAACCCACTGCCAGTGTCATACTAAATAGGGTAAAAGTCAAAGCTTTTTCCCTAAAGTCAGGTACAAGAAGCCTGCTCTCAGCATTCTTTTTTGATAGAGTACTCAAAATTTTACCCAAAACAATCAGGAGAGAGAAAGGAATGAAAGGTATAAAGATAGAAAAGTAAAAAGTCAAACTATCCTTATTTACAGATGACATGAGACTTTACATAGAAGAAACAAAAAAGTCCAGAAAAAGACTCTGAGAACTAGTAGACAAAGAAAATATCTGGATACAAATTCAAAAGAGAAAAACCAATAGTGTTCCTATCTTCAAGTTATACTACAAAACAACAGTGATAAAAATGCCATGGTATTGGCACAAAAACAAACATGTGGATGTATGGATCAGAATAGAGGATCAGAAACTTCCCCAGGTACCTTCAGTTATGTGATCTTTGACAAAAGGCCTAGAAATATACATTGGAGTAAAGATGGTCAGTTCAAGAAATGGTGCTGGGAACACTGGCTATCTATATGCAGAAGATCAAATCTGGACCCATATCTCTCACCATGTACTAAATAAAATGCAAATGGATCAAATGTTTAAACATTAAAATAGAATCAATGAACTTACTGGAAGATAAAATGGGAAAACCATTGAAGTCATAAGTGTAGGCTTTTAAGGACTTTCTGAACAGAAATCTGACAGCACAAGAAATAGCACTGAGAATCAATAGGTGAGATTATATCCAATTAAAAAGCTTCTGCCCAGAAAAAGAAACAATTCCCAGAGTGAAAAGACAACCAGACAATGGGAAATATTTTGTCAGCTATTCCTAACATAGAAGAGTAATATCTAGAATATATAATAAACTCAAAAAATTTAGATAACCCAAAATAAAAGACCCAATTTAAAATGGGCAAGTTAAATGAATAGACACATCTCAGAAGAAGAAATACAAATGGTCAATAAACATGTGAAAAAGTGTTCAATATCCCTGGCCTAGAGACATGCAAATTAAAACAAGGCTAAGATTTCGTCGTGTCCCAGAAAGAATGGCAATCATCAAGAATTCAAAAACTAATGTTTTCCACATTGTTGGTGGACTGTAAATTAGTAAAAAATCAATCATTATGGAAATCAATATGTAGATTTCTCCAGGAACTAAAATTAAAAATTGTATTTGACCCACATATTCCTTTTCTAAGTATCTTCCCCAAAGGGCGAAAGGCATCATATCACAGCAATACATGCATACAAATGTTTACAAGAGTACCATTAGTAATAGCTAAATTCTGGAAGCAACAGATAATGTGATATTTCTACATAATGGAATACTACTCAATAAAATGGATGACCTTAAAATGTTTGTAGGATAGTAGATATATCTGGAAAATATGATGTTAAGTGAAATAGAAAACAGCCAAGCTTAAGTACTGTATGGTAGTTCTCATCTGAGAAAACCAAAGAGCAAATAAAGAGCAAAAACAAAGAAGGGATAGAAGGAAAAAGGAACATTCATTTTTTGCAAATGAGAAGGAGTCCAGGAGATGGAGGTTGAGTGGGGGGTTGGAGGGAAACAGGAAGTAAAAAGATTTCAGATGTGTCATATACTTGGGCCAAAAATCTACAATGGACAGAAACTTTTGTTAACATAAATATGTACAAAAATTATGACAACATTTAGAGAAGGAGGGAGGGTTGTGGCTGGGAGGGGAAGTTGAATCAAAAAAAAAAAAATCAAGAAGTGTCATGTACATGTACCTACCATACTTCCTAAGTTGTACTCCCTAACTTCATGTACAGAAAAGATGTCCTAATCAAAAATAAAAAACAGAGTTGAAAATAACAAATCAATAGTGCTCCTCTATAACAATAACTTACACATTGAGAAAGAAATCAGGGAAACAATTTCATTCACATTAGCTTCAAAAAAATTTAAATACTTAAGACTTAAGCAAACCAAGAAAGTGAAAAACCTATTCAGCAAAATCTATAGTACTCTGAAAACAAAAGATTTAAACAAAGATTAAAAAATACAAAGACATGCCATACTCTAGGAAAAGCAGAATCAATATTGTCAACATGGCCCTGTTACCAAAAATAGTCTGTTGGGTTTTCATAATTTGAACCAAAATACCAACAGTATTAGTCACAGAAATAGAAAAGTCAATCCTAAAATTTATGTGGAACCAGAAGAGGGCCAGCATAGCTAAACAAAACCTGGATGAAAAGGAAAGCAAAGCAGGAGGTGATATACTCCCAGATTTCAAAGCTAGAGTAATGCAAATTTTATGGTACTGGAACAAAACTAGATGCGCTGACCAGTAGGATACTATAGAAGGTAGAAACAGCCTCATGAAGCTTTGACAAAGGGAACTAAAATACCAAACACTGGAGAAAAATAGCTTCTTTACCAAAGGGTGCTGTTAAAATTGGTTATCCATTGAAGAAGAATGCAACAAAACCCATATCTCTCACCCTGTGTGAAAACAAATAAAAATGGATCAAAGAGTTAGACATACAAAGAGAAACACTGAGTCTGCTAAAATATAAAATAGGTAAAACCCTTGAAGACACAGACACAGGCAAAGACTTTGTGAACAGAAGCCCAACTGCACAAGAAATAATTCAAAGAATCAACAATTGGGATTGTGTGACCATTATGTATGGGAAATATGTACTAACAAAACAGAAGCTTCCATACAGCAAAGGAAACAACCATCAGAGTGAAGGGATAGTTTTCAAAAAGAAAAAAATATTGCAGCTATTCCTTGGATGGAGGATTAACTTCTAGGATATATATAAAATATAAGAATATTAAAACCTCCTGAATAAAAAGACCAAAACAAAACTGTAAAACTAAAATGAATAGACATTTTCAGTGCATTTTTACATGAAATATTTCCACATTTTGATCATTTGAGTAATGTGAATAAAAACAGCACTGAAATTTAATTTTAATTTAGTAAGAAAGGCTGGCATCATAAGCTCAAAAGAGAAAAAAAAGAAAGCTTAGGAGGTTGTGGGTATAAGGAAATCCTTCTATACTGACTATAATAAAATAACAGGTACTGTAGCATAACTACTATGAAGTCGGTGTGAAAATCCCTCAAAAACAAAAAATGGAAAATCCATTTGATACAGCTATACAACTCCTAAATATCACTGTTAAAGCATTAAGTTAATCATGTTATAGTAATATACATATACTCAGGTTTATACCAGTACAATTCACAATACTTAATGTAGTTAATAGTTAATAGTTATCCCATTGAACAAATGAATAGGAAAAATATATGCTATGTACACACAATGGAATATTAATCACACATATAGATAACTTTGAGTCATTTGAAAGCAAATAAAAGCACCATGAGTTCATGAATCTAAGTGAGGTAAGTCAGACGCAGAATGTTACTTATCACAGGACCTCTCTTACATGAGAAACTCCAAATATAAGTAATATAAAGAACAAAAAAAGATAGTAGAAAATGGAGAGGTTTGTTTTTCCAAATTTATTTTAGTTTATGCATATATTTTGTAAAGTTAAATATGTTTTGCCACTTTAGGTAAGAAAATGACATTATTAATTTTATCATTACATGAGCACAATGCATAATAATTACATTCATCTTGGGAAGCTTTTACATAGGCATATCACAGTAATACTTTACAATTGCTCTAACCCTCTCCTCCCTACAAACCTGACCCATCTCCATATCCCCTTCCCTTGTCCACAAAGTCTACTTTCATGATTTCTGTCTATCTTTACTTTTCCTCTTTAAATCACTTATATTTTAGGTTTATCATAAAATAAGATCCACAAGGTATTTAACCTTTTGTGACTAAATTGGTTTACTAAGAATTATGACCTCAAGTGGCATCTGTTTTCTTACCAAAGACGTGTTATTCTTCTATGTGAATGAATATTACTTTATTATATATGTGAAGAATACATTAAAGAACATATAGTTTTACTTATAATTTTATGTAAATAGGTATATAATAATTGTATTATATTGATATATACTATATAAGGTGTTTATTTAAATTATATGATAATTATCATTGCATATGTATATGTAAAACATAAAAAGTATTTCAAAGGATCTTTGAAGAAATGCACAAAAGTTCACCAAGATTTAGACAGCCATGAACACAGTCTTGTTATTTCTCAGAATTCATTTTCTGTTTTAAAATTTTTATTAGTACATGTTTGCAGTACATGCACTCTACAGGCATCTTGCAGACTAGGTACATGTATATAACAGAGCTTGGTTCCTTTTTGAATCCCTGTCTGCATCCCTCCCTCCTCCTTCCCTGCTCCTCTAAATGTCCTTTCCCTATTTTCATTCTTGTTGGCATTATTAATCTTATTTAACTTTTATGACATATAATGTTTATATCCATTGAGGTTACTAGGTTCCTATACATGGCATATAGAAAATTACAATACTCTGAAAAAGACTTCAGTTTTAAAGCAGAGACTAAAGATCAATGTACCAGTTTGGGCAGCTATCAAGATCTACGTACTATCTTTCCAAGTTATATAATGTGAACGCAAATACCAACTTAAAAATTAAACATGAAGTGGTTAAAAATTGGAAAAAAGAGAATAAAAGTATGCTTGAATTAGAAGGTACAATGCTATGTAGCCAAATGTCAAAGAACTATCACACAGCATGCAGGGTGCCCGAGACAGCTGGGACAGAGGGGAAAACCTTGCCTTTTGCCTTGACACATCTCTGCTCCTCCCCCAGATGCTGTTACATTTTTTCAGCTTTGCAATTGGGCCTTTACTATTGTGCCTCTGTGGTTTCTGCATATTGCTCAGTTTCATTCTGAATATTTCTAATCTATATCAAAACATAATCACCCTTGATGTCTGTTCTGTTCCACATCCTACACTTGTCCTAGTTTTTTTGTTTTTTGGTCCCAGGGATGGAACTCAGGTCCTTGTGCTTGCAAAGCAGGTGGGGTTCCACTGAGCTAAATCCCCCAACCCCCTAGTTTGTTTTACATCACATTGGCTTATCACCTAGAGTTTTTTTAGGTTGACTTAGAAAGAAAACACAATTGCCCAAATATTTGGTTAGTGATATTTCATTCATTAGGCTCCAAATAAGTTTTTGGCTCTAAATATGTGCTCTTCCATGAAGCATTCAGAGTGGAGACAATTCCTCTTCTGTAATACAGCATCTCATGATGGCAGTCACTACACCAATAGTTATGCCACAGTTAGAATAAAGAAATCCACCTAGCCATTTAAAAATTGGCATGAATAGTTTCCTTAAGAGTTTTCAAGACATTCATGTTTCTCTTTCCTGCTTCAACAATCCAAACTCCCATAGACCTGAACCAGTTAAGAAAGATCACTCTGTAGCAACCATCAGAATCAAAGTGTGTACATGAAACACATGGATAACAGTCTGCAAACCTATTGAATAAAATATGGAAATAAAATAAATACATAAACCTAAGGAAGGGTCTAGTAATAAAAAAGGCCAAAACATGGCATGGAAATATAAGGTGGAACATAAATAGAAATCTGAGATGGGCAGTGTCACCTTGTATAGCAGGGAACAGGTCCTGATTCCTAACCCTGAAATCCCTGCTTTCAAGTGTGAGCAGTGTCCATAGCACCCTTGTGGTTGTCGTATCAAAAAAGATAAAACCATCACTTTTTTCTTTCTCACAGGAGCTCAAATCCTCTTTTAGGATCTTCTAGCACTCTTTCTCTCCCATTTATTAATTACAATTTTATCTAAGAATTTTTCTTGATAATATTTGAAAACACAGGATATACATATATCTAGCTGAAAAAGAGTCAAGTTGTTTTTCTTAGCGTTTTCCAACCTGATACTCAAGTAGAAAATGAATGAACAAAAAAGACACTTACTGCTGGAGAAGGAAGAAGTCCTTGTTAGGCCTCTGATGAGAGATACTGAAGAGGTGAGCATGTGTATAAAGGAGGAAAAACCCACCAACCACCACATCTCCATCCCTGTTCACACTTCTTTTCATTCCTTTAAAGCAATCTAAATTATTCAAAGTACATACCAAGAGAGGAAGCTGCAGGAAGAAGTAGATATAAATCAAAGGGAACATATTGAAAATTTCTGCAAAGCTCTGTTTGAACTTTGAACTTGCAGTGTCAGCCAAGAAAAGAACTATGGGTACACATATGTGTGTTGTGGCCTGGAGTGGACAAATCAGTGACTCTCCCACACTCGCTTTAAGGAATCTGTAACTCTATCTACCCTGGGGCTCTGCATCTGAGGTCCAGTGTCCAGGTGCCAAACACACATTGGAAAAATATGTTAAAGCATCATTCCCTTTACCCCTAGGAATAATGATTTCATCAAGGTCCAATAATTGCATATTCTCATGAACCACTTCCTCTTGGGCAGTTTTAATCCCAAGCCTATGTCAATAATTGATTTTTATTAAAGCTGTTTTGGATGATGCAAATGGATTGCACTGGAGAATAGAGTGTAAAATATTTGGTGAAAAGGTCTCAAAGTGTCCATAATTAGAGAAGAATATTTTATCATTATGACCTCCAAAATGCAAGGTACAACCTCACACACCCAGGGTTCAGGATGGTCAGAGAATGTTTTTGGGTAGCTCATACATGTCTGCCTTCCAATCAATGTACTGAACTATTGCACATGTTCCCCTTTGTGAGATTAAAGTATTTATACTGAACTCAGGAAATCTAATTTAATAACAAGATCTACTAATAAGTTACAAAATTTGAAGCCTTCCTCTACTATTAATTTTGCTTAAACATGTTAATCTCATGGATTACTCTATCATGATACCCATTCCTACAATAACAATCTCAGTTTCCTCCATTATCCATACTTTCATTTTTTTTTTTGTACCAGGGATTGAAATTGGGACATTGTGCTTGGGAAGCAGGCAGCAGAACCACTGAGCTAAATCCCTGGCCTGGTACTTTCAATGATTACATGGGCTTAATGAGAAATTTTTTTCCTTTTTCACCATTTGCTAAAAAGCAAAAAGGTGGAGAGGATTCCTGTATTTCACAGTACAGTATATTTTAGGAAGAACATATTTTTGTACCTAATAAAGCTTCTTTTTACAAGAATGTGTTTTATCTCTGAACTCATGGGGAAAATTTCTTTCTGATCTTAACAAAATAATGTAGCACGTATTGACAAATATGCAGTCCAGCAACCCTGCATTGGAGACCAAGATGGAGAAGACCTCCATGGCCACCATGACCTTCCCCTTGGTGCTGTGGTACACAGGGAGGAAGGTGACCCACACACTGCAGAACACCAGCATGCTGAAGGTCAGGAACTTGGTTTCATTGAATATTTCAGCCAGTTTCCTGGTCAGAAAGGCCATAGTGAAGCTCATCAAGGTTGGGGAGCCCAGGTATCACAGGACACATTAGAAAGCAGTGAGTGAGCCCTTGTTGTGCACAATGATGTGACCATGTTCAGAGTGTGCATCTGTCTCAATAAAGGGTGGATTTGTCCCCATCTAGACTTCACAGAGAATCAGTTGGATCAGGGAGCAGATGGGGATGATATAGTTTGGTTCCTCCAATACTAGCAACTGCCTCATCCTTCTGCCTGGAGCAGTGACCTTAAAGGCCAAAATCACAGTGACAGTTTTGGCTAAGACAGTGGAAACAGCCACAGTGAACCCAACTCCAAATGTGGTCTGCCTGAGGATGCAGGTGGCTGTGTTGGGATGGCCAATGAAGAGTAAGAAGTAGAGAAAACAGAATGTAAGGGAGATGAGCAGGGTGTAACTGAAAGCCCTATTGTTGGCCTTGACAATGGGAGTGTCTCAGTAGTTCATAAAGAGCCCAAGAGTAGAAGCTATGAGGACAGTGAGACTCAGGGCAGTGCCACTCAGCATCTTCCCCATGGGGTCTCCATGATTCAGGAAAGTCAAAGACTTTTGAAAGCAGTAGTTTTGCTAATTGTGGCATACTGATCATCAGGACCCTTCACACACTGCTCCATATCTACCAAGAATGTCCAGTTATCATTAGTTCAAGTTCATTATTGCCCCTCCATTCACTCACTCATTCATAGAAAATGGGTCGGGGAAAAAAAGGGAGGGGACAGGGGAAAGGTTGGAAGGGATAGAAAAAAATGGCAATAAACATTTTGCAAATAAGGAGGAGAAGAGGGGTTGAAGGGAGGGTAGGGAAATAGGAAAAAGTAACAATCAAGATATACCATGCTCAGGTACAAATTTGCTATGATGAATGATATCCTCATGTATATCTCAATGTATCAGTAAACCTAATTTAAAACAAATTAATTCATAGGACCTTTTGAACCTCTTTTTGTTTCTGTTTCTTCTTTGTTTTTCATTCAAAGTTCTTTCTTCTAAATTTTACTCCTGATTGTTGAACTTTGTCTGAGCTTCATAGCCAGCACTTTAATTTTTTTCTAAATTTTGGAATATAGTCTTGTTAGGTCACAACATTGCCAAAGCTGCATTCAAATTTGAGTGCTGAGTTTCTAGGTCTGCATGAGCATGCCCAGCTTTTCATTTGATTTTTTAGACACTAAGCAGAGGAATGTTATACTTACAGCATCCCTCAGTTAATATTGTCCTCATTTTTTGTTCTATATTTACAAAAACCAATAAAATATGTTTCTTTCTATAGCAAACCTCTGCAACCCAGGCTTTATAGACTCCTTCAATGAACAACCACTTGAGAAACCCAAAGTAATTTACTAAGTTCTAGGTATATGATGAATATACAATCTGTCCAATAGGATATGTTCTCCCACCCCACAGAATGTTGTGGCTTTCATGAAAAAAATATTGGGGTTAGTATAACAATTGAATCTGTAGAATCAATTGTAAAACACTAACACCTTCCCATTGGTGATAATTTCCATTCATGTACACACTTTCTTTAATCAAGTACTGCCATTATATTGTTAAAAAAATTTCCATACTTTAACATGTTACCTTATTAGTTTTATCTTGATATATTTAATAGATGAACATTTTTAATTGTTAATTTGTACAATATCATCTATTAATAAGTAGTGACAAAGTTGTATAAATAGGTTATTTTTCACCTTAATTGATATTCCATCACCAAACAATCTAATTGTTAATTTATGTGGGTTTTATACTTACACACTAACACCATAGGAAAATTATGGCAGACATATTCTTTTTTCTCAGTACATGATGACTTTTATATGTGCTTCTGAGTGTAATTTATCAGCAGGGACACTGGCATAACATCTGTTAGAAAGGGTTTCAAGGAAAATTTTACTCTGATTTTTGCTTTCAAAATTTAAACACAAGAGCACAGAGGAGGCTTCCAGGTTGACATGCCACTTCTCCCAGTGTAGAGTAGGAGGCATCTGGGCCAAGATACCACCACTCCAGCACAGAGGAGGCTTCTAGGTCGATGTGCCAAAACTCCTAGTGCAGAGTAGGAGACTGCTGGGTTGATGTGCCACAGGTCCCAGTGCAGAGGAGGAAGCTTCTGAGCCAAGGTACCACCACTCGCAGCACAGAGGAGGTAAGTCTTGTGGGAGCCAGCAGCACCCCCACCACCATCAAAATGAGAAGACATGTAAACAAGCCTCAAAACCAGACTTCCAGATCACCTAGAGCAACTCCAAAGGGAAACAAGATTGAACACTCTGATACTCAACAACCTGTACTCCCTGAACTAGCAACAAAAGAGGATCTGGAAAAAATTAAATCACAAATAATTTCTCAGATACCAGCAGAGATTGTACCTATAGTCCAAGACATGACAATGTCTTGAAAGGACACAGATAAAAAATAGAGGAGCTGAGGAACATGATGTAATCAATATAGGAAAAAAAAGGAATCCATAAAACAGATGCAAATAGATTTCCAGGAGATTAAAAACTCCATTGAAAGTCTATGCAGCAGAATGAGCAAACGTGAGGACAGAATTACAGATATAGAAGATAAAATTGCAATTAGTGACCAGGAAAAGAAAAATTGCCTTAAAATTATAAGGGACTTTGAGAAATTAATCCAGCAGCTGCTAGACAAGGCAAAGAAGAATAACATAAGAGTGACTGGAGTCAATGAAGAAACAGGAGAGTGTGCAGATGACATAAAGAAACTGTTCACAGAAGTGTTGGCAGAAAATTTCCCAAGCAGGGGAAAAGAAATTGACATTCAGATAAGGGAGGCATATAGGACTCCAACTAGCCTTGATCAAAAAAGCTACACATAGGAATATAATTGGTAAGATTTAAGAAACCCAACAGAAGAACAAAGTTCTGCAAGCAGTTAGAGAAAAGAAAGAAATCACATACAAAGTAAAGCCCATCAGAATCACAGCAGACTTCTCAACATAAACTCTCAAGGCAAGAAGATCTTGGAGTGAAGAATTGCAAGCCTAATGGAAAACAGCCTCCAATGCTGATGGATGTAGCCTACAAAATTATCTTTCAAAATTGATGGAGAAATAAGATACTTTCATGACAAAGAGCACTTAGGAACTTCATGAATACCAAACCAGCACTCCAAAAAATTTTAGGCAATATCCTAGGAAAAGACAATGAGGATCACAACCCCAGGAAGCAAAGCAGATAGGAACTTAACAGATATTTACAGAGTGTTCCAGACCCAAAAAATCAGAATACACATTCTTTTCAGCTGCACATGGATCATTCTCCAAAATAGACCATATACTCACTCATAGAATATATTTAGGCAAATGCAAAGAAATTGAAGTTATTCCCTGTATATTTTCAGACCATAATGCAATGAAATTGGACATCAATAGCAAAAGAAACCAAAAAATTTCATAAACACATGGAAATTGAACAACATACTTCTGAATAACCAATGGGTGAAAGAGGAAATTAAAGAAGAAATCAAACAGTTCCTTCAATTAAATGATGATGACAGTACAACATATTGGAACCTACAGGACAAAATGAGAGCAGTCTTACAAGGGAAATTCATAGCAGTGAATACTCATATTAGGAAAACAGAGCTAGCCCAGTTAAACAACCTGATGCTGAACCTCAAGCTTCTAGAAAAAGAGGAGTGGGACAAATGCAAAGCTCATACAAGGGAGGAAATTATAAAGATCAGAGCAGAAATCAATACAATGGAGACTAAGAAAACAATACAAAAAGTCAATAAAACTGAGAGTTGGTTCTTTGAAAGAATAAACAAAATTGACAAACCTTTAGCCAACCTGATCAGAAAAAGGAACAAAAAGGCCCAAATCCATGCAATTAGGAATGAAAAGGATGAAACTACAATGAACCCAGCAGAAATCCAGAGGATCATCAATACCTACTTTGAGAACATATATGCCAATAAGATGGGAAACACAAAAGAAATGGACAGGTTCCTAGATACATATGAATCACCAAAGTTGAATGAAGATGACTAAAAAATTCTAAAGAAACCAATATCAATCAATGAAATTGAAAGCATAATTAAAAACTTACCAACTAAGAAGAGCCCGCATCCTGATGGATTCACCACTGAATTCTACAAGAAATTTAGAGAGGAACTACTGCCGCTAGTGTTTAAACTCTTTAATGAAATTGAAAGGGAGGCAACACTCCTGAATTCATTCCTTAAAGCAAGCATCACCTTGATCCCCAAATCAGAGAAAGACTCAAATGAAAAAGAGAACTATAGTCCAATCTCACTAATGAACAGAAATGTAAAAATCCTTAATAAGATACGGGCAAATAAAATGCAGAAGATCGTCAAGAAGATCATACAAGCAGACCAAGTGGGATTCATCCCAGGGATTGAGAGATGGTTCAACATATACAAATCAATCAATACTATATCAATATAAGCTATATCAATAGACCCAAGTACAA